CGCGGTGTTTGCTTGCTGGCTTGGGTAGTTTAGATTCAGTCTGGCAAGAATCTGTCTTGTAGGTGGGAGTTCATAAATGCAATAGAACGGTAACTGTACTGTCTCGTGGAGTTCTTTGGGCTGAACCTGGCACTTTACTTCCTTTCTATTGTCTCTTTTGAATGGTGTGTAGATGCTGTTTATCTTTATGTGCCTGTTGATGGCTGCCTTGTCCGAATACCAAGCTTCCAGGAATTCCCTGGCATTTTTGGATTTAGCTTGGTCTAAAATGCTGACAGTTTCCCAGTTGAAACAATGGTTAAGTCTGAAGTGTCCCTCTCTCTCGGTCCAGCCTACTTTGTCAGGTTGTTGTTGTGGGGAAAAAGAGGCCTTGTGTTGCCCTCGGAAATATCAAACAGAGATACTGAATCTTTGCCAATTACCTTCTTTTTAACTTTGGGAACATTTTTATGTGGAAAAGTGACATAAGGAATTAAGAAACGGCTACTTTTCCCCCTCTTTTTAATCGTTGAGTTCAGTGCTTGTTAAACTTTTTGCTCTCAGGACCCCTTCCCACTTTTAAAAATTATGGAGGGCCCCCCAAGAGCTTTTGTTCATATGGGTTATCTTTACCGATATTTGCCGTATTAAAAATGAAAATGGACACATTCGCTGTCGCCACCGCTTCTCACAATTTTAATATTGTATTATTTTTCAACGTAGGCTGGCAAATAATTTTGATTTTGCGGACCCTTGAGGAGCTCTTGGAGAACTCCCCGGGGTCCTAGGACCACCCTTTAAGAAACACTGGTCTAGTTTAATAATGGCCTGGTGTTTTTAGCTATATAAACAGGTATTTGGGGATTCTTTGAAGAAAAGTGATCTGTGCTTTATTTTTTTTTTAATGCAAACCAACTTTCACAAGCCTGAGTGAAAACTAAGCATTAACCCACAGCTTCCAGTCCCTGTCCCTGTCCCCAACCAGCTCACCGCAGTAGTGCCCCAAGGAGTTTGGTCACGTTTTCTGAAGTCTGGACCACCACCACGGGCTTGGAAAGGACCTGGGAGACGTCTAGCTGTAACAGGGAGAAGATGAGGAAGAGCCCATCAGTGGGGATGAGGGCAGGGTCTTCCGCCATTCCTCTGGCACCAGCAAGCCAGCACTGGCACCTACCTCTCGGATTGTGTTCTGGTTCAGGGCAAGGATGAGCAGGGCTGAAGCACCCAAGACAAGGGCCCGTTTCATCTGCAGAAGGGAAAATGCAAAGGAATTAAGAACCAAGAAGGGGATGGTGACCTTGACCAGTGTTTCTCAACCTTGGCCACTTGAAAATGGGTGGACTTCAACCCCCAAAATCCCCCAGCCAGCCATAAGAACCAAGAAGAGGATGGTGACCTTGACCAGTGTTTCTCAACCTTGGCCACTTGAAAATGGGTGGACTTCAACTCCCAGAATTCCCCAGCCAGCCATAAGAACCAAGAAGAGGATGGTGACCTTGACCAGTGTTTCTCAACCTTGGCCACTTGAAAATGGGTGGACTTCAACTCCCAGAATTCCCCAGCCAGCCATAAGAACCAAGAAGAGGATGGTGACCTTGACCAGTGTTTCTCAACCTTGGCC